CCACATATTGCCATTTACATGGTTAGTGTGTGGACTGCAGGCAAAATAATTTGGAATTGTAATTTTTATTTTCTATAATATGATAATGAAATCAACTACTATCCACTAGAATCAAATGAATTTCTCTCTGCTACTCCAGTGGGAGGAATAAAAGGGTTCTACTGGCTAAACTGCCAGGCTAATGGGAAAATGAAGAAAAATCAGGTCCTCGGATGGCTAGCAAATAAAAAAATGCTTATTTTAAACATAATGGTGGACATATACAGATCTTGAAATCTTTTAAAAACTGATTAAGCAAGCTTTTTTCCAAAGGTTTTTAATTGCCATACTTGGAAGTCCTATTGACTTCATATGGATTACACCTGGCTGAAGTGTAGGCATGTTCTTAGGCTGTACAAGGGCACGAGACAGCAAAGGCCTCTCAACTCTGAAAATGTCTGAACTTGATTACAAATCTAATAGGAGAAAAACTTATGCTGTCAAGGCAACGATAAAAAAAGCTTTTCCAGCATTGTTTCATTAATATTGACAGTGATGATTCTTTGTTTTTATTAATCCAGTGAGGACCTGTTTGCCATCTACTATTCAGATTTTAATCTTTCCCCAGAAGTCTAAGTGACGTGTTGTGTAAAATGCACTTTCTACGTGTGATGGTACAGGATTGACCTGCATATATGCCTTTAGTATAACTAATTTGGCAAGCATTTATGTCCTAATTAATAAATGCAATTCTTCACAAACACCTGGTTGGAAAGCTTAAGTGCAGTAATACACAAATAGCAGGTTGTTTTACAGATACAGCCAGCAAAGGTAAAGATCAAATGTTAGAATGAGTCTACTGTTTGGGATCTACTATGCCAAACCCTCTGAATTGAACAGCTGGGCAATATTTTTTTGTACTAAGATTTAATATCTTATTTTCGTTTAAAACTCTTGTGGTGTCACATAAATGTGTTCTGCAACTACAGCAGATCATATGTAGCAAAGAGCAGAGAAAAGAGCTATTTGGTTAGGAAATTATAATCCAAAAATTTTTCTATGTCTGTTACACTTTGGGAATCAGAGGAAACTAAGGAACTTAAGGAGATGACCACAAAGGTCACAAGGAATTGCTGCAGCATTCACAAAATATGTAAAGGCTATGAGAGCTGTAGGATCTTACAGTGAAGGTTCAGAATGAATACAGGAGCCACTCTGAGGGTGGCAACTGCTCAGAAATCAAATGAAGAAAAAAAAAAAAAAGAGAAATCCAAAAAGCAAGAGACTCTCAGCTGTTAGAAATAGCTGTAACCCCTTAAAATTGTATGCTTAGCATGAGTGATATCTCTTCCTGATTCATCCATGCAGCAATTAGGAGCTGTTCTCTAGGAATGGTGCATGGCACAGAAAATGAACTGATTGATTCCTCCCTGCACTGAGTAGTTGATTAGGGGTAAGTGATCTGTTTATAGATGTTACACTGAGTGTGTTACTGCTCACACTCATCCAGGACTTGGACACTGAGGGTGGCGAAGAGTGCCTGCTCAGGAAGGGCCTAATTCAGAGCTCATCAGAGCTCATTTCCACTGACTGCACAGGGTTCTGGATTAGGCCTTTTCCATCCACCTGTCTGGAGGGGAGATTTCCATTCCAGTGCAGCTGTGAGATGCAGTTTTCCACAGTCTCTTATGCTGCCTATTTTTAGTGCACTGTATTCTAGATTTGACATGTACAAATTCTCTGTACTGTTTATTAATGATATTTTTGCAGTCCCTATCTTTACCAAGGAAAGAAATTGTACCTGAAATTTCCTCTGAATGTGTTCAGATTTTACAGTACTTTGCTCAGGCACTTGCAAAGGTATCGTGCTCCAAGCAAAGATAAAGAACTGAGTCTATAATTTAATAACCCCCTTCTGACTAATTAGCATTCATTCAATGAATGAAGGCTTTGCAGAGGTCCAGTCAGAGGCCTAAGCACCATTTAAGTCCAGCTTATTCCTCAAGGCACCTCTGAACTGAATTGGGCCCCTTTTTATTAAATTACAATAGAAAGACTGCCCTGTCAAGTACACTGATGCTAAAAGACCCAACCTCCCAGGACCTCACACAGATAAGTAATCATCACTTATGCTAATAGCACATTTGACTTCCGTGGGATGACACATGAGGATGGACTACTTACTTGACTAAGATTAGTAAGAACAGGCATGTTACACAGAACAAATGACTTCTAAATATCCAGCTGCAGCAAAGTGCTGACTCCCATCAGTGAGTGTTGGGAGGGTGAATGAAGGGCAGGATATGATCTCTGGAAACCTCGCTGAATACTATTATTGAATTGGTGACAGTTTTGCAGATTTCTAACCCATAATAAACCTCAGCTCAGTGACATGCTTCTCTCCACTGTTTCCCTGCTCTGCTTTCCTTTTATTTATTTTTTTTTTTTGCATAATCCAACAATCCATTTAAATGATTTTTTTTTCACTCTTTCTTCTTCGATGTTTGCAAATTAATTTTGTGGTTTTGAAAGGTATTTAAGTAACAGCCACAAAGCCACAAGCTCTCCTGTTTACCTGCAGAGCAGACTACTTGGTAGCATCTCTACACTGCCCTGCCAAGGTTCCTCCCCTCTGCTCTGCTGGGATCAGTGCAGTCTCTATGCTCATTTAGTCTTTGGCTTCTCCCTTCAAAGCTGACAATAATGGCATCATACAGGGTATAACATTCCAGTGATTTTGTCTCATAAAATGCCTAACTCTTAGGCCTCTGTTTAATACAATTTTGCTCCACACAGGTCACAGAAACAGATTTTGGCCCTTATGGTCTATTAAGCCTTTGAATCAGCAATCCAGGAAGGGAAAAATCTTTATGTCTAACCCGACTTAGTTTCACTTCATTGTTCTTGAATTTGTCAAGGGCCAATTTTTGCTTCTTATTTTGTTTCTAATAATTTAAAACGTATTTTGTTGCTCTCCCTGTTTTTTCTATCCTGACCAGACTTTTAAAAATTATTCTTTTTTATTTTTTAATCACTGGCCTGAAAAGCTTTTTCTGAAAGTAATGTAGTAGTGACCACTGATGACTAGTTTCTAGGGATTTTATGAATCCAAGGTCAATTTGTTCCTAAGAGCTGGAAAAACCATAAATGATGAAAAATATTTCTGGTACATGCATAATAACTGGTATAAATATTGCATCTAACACCAAAATCCCAAACACTACAACCTGTTTATCAAGGGACCCTTAAATCCAGTTTTGTTTCACCTATAATGTAGAGTCTGTATAAATGCCACAAAGTCGAAGAACATAAGTATTACATCATTAGTAGCATTCTTAATTGAGTATTTTCCTGTTTCCTGGGGGCTTCTAACTCAGCTGTAATGATTGCTCCATGTGTGTGCACCTGGGTGTTTTGCCAATCACATAAGGGAAACAAAAATGCCCTAATTTCTACGACTTTGCTTTCATTGCACTGTAAAGCACAAAAAGGAGAAACGGTTTCCTGAAGAACTCCTCCATAGCAGGCCCTTGAACGAGATGACTGTTTCTAATAAGCAACAGCTGTCGTTGTGGTTTTACTAGTCAAATGATTCATGTCTTTTGCTCAGAAATGATAAGTGGAACAAATGTTTACTTAGATATGTAACAGAGGAACAATTGAAAAATAGTAGACTGTCAAATAGAAATATTTTCCTGTTATCTGATCCTTGACAATTAGTCTGAACTGGTTTTTAGTCAAAAGGCAGTGTTGTAGTGGTGCAGTTAGAACAGTGAAGAGTTTAGCTCACGGAGTTCTGCAAACCAAATTCAGCAGGCTGGTGTGTGAATGTCTGCAGCAACCCAGCAGATTTGAGGGGACACAAGCACCTCTTATGAACTCCTACATCCCCCACCCCCCCAGTTCTGGCAGACTCCCCTCCTAAATTTAGTCATCCTTGAAAGGGAGACAGTGAACTTACCATTTCCTCTCATTTCTGCTGTCTTCAGGGAATACCAAAGTGCTGCTCTGCTGCCTGGTCCTTAGTGAATATCCTCTGCTGGCTGCGGCTTCCCTGGGATCTTACGGGGCCTCCTGGGAGCAGCAAAGTGTTCTAACACGTGAGATTCCAGGCTCTGTCTAAGGACAAAAAGATCACATTACCCTTCGGATGCTGGGAAGGAGAACCCAGCAGACCCTTGATGTATCTCTGCTGAGCTGGAAGCTGCTGCAGTCAGAGAGATTTGACACCCCTGTGGCATTGCAGGGCTTGAGGTACATTTGTGTTAAGTGCTAGAGGAAGAAGTGGCAAACTCGTACGAGCCTAAGACAGCATCAAAAAAAATGGTGTTGTTGCCTTTGAAGGGGGTCTGGGAGTCAAACGAGGATGGAGAAGGCCAAGGGAGCCTTGGGATGCTCAGTGTGCAAATGAAACCAGCGTGCATCTATAACTTACTTGGACTTGCACGGATGCTTGCCAGTATAACCGGGTTTAAATCCACTTTTATTTTGCATAGTTTCTAGACTTCACTGCTTTTTCAGAACTCTTCAGTATCACTGTATGGCACAACACTGCGCTGTACAGAGAGACTATCAGAGCCTGGGTTTCCCATCTGTAAAAAGAGGTAATATTTCCTTTCTCCCAGCCTTTATTCAGCTTACAAGGCTCCTGGGACTAGGATTCTTTTATTGCATGTTTCTGTATTGTCTCGTACAACAAGACCCTGATCTCAGTTGAAGTCTGTAAGTATCTCAGAAATATAAATAGATAATAATAAAAAGATGATTTTGACACAAAATGGAATTTTATATTCTGGAGAGTGAAATAAAATATGTACTAAAGTCTACTAAAGTGTAACCATGAGATCAAATGATAAAATTCTTCTGGCAACAAAGAGTTGACACAAATTTGTGAGATTAAACTGAACCAACTCAACGGAGGCTTGTTCTGGTGGTTTATTCATATAAAGTATATGAAAAAAGTAAGTGAGATGATCAAATTACCCTCACAGCATGGATTTTGACATGGATGTAGACTAACTGAGCCACTGGAGGACTGAGCAGGTGCGTGGTTCTAATTATACCCTCAGTCTTGTGAGGAAGGAGCAAACTTCCAGGTTGCTTCCCTGGTGGAGATAAGGTGTTATCAGCCATCAGCAAATGAGAGGGGAGAACAAGGACAAGGCACCTGATGGGAGAAAGAGGAGGAAAGGAGGGGGCGAGGAGAGCATATTCATAATGCTACTCATCCTTTAAAAATGTATACACACATCGACTCTGAGCCATTTGGATGCCACTTCCAGTACTCATTTCTTGTGTCTCTGAGTAACCCTTCCTTATGGCGAGACACACAAAACTCCTTTTAACATTTTCTATTTTATGGGCCTGCAGTGAGATATCTGGCTAAATATAATGATTTATTTGTTTATTAATTAATCAACAACAGGCACACTAGAACTACAATCCAAACAGTCCCCCACACAGGTTTTTATCACCATGTACTATATCCCTAGGGAAATACACATCTTTTTTTTCAGGAGTATAAATGGACATTTCTATAAATTGCAACTACTTGGGTGCATGTAATATGCAATATTATTCATCTTTGTATTCCAGGTGAATCCAGACTAGACTACCAGCCTCTGGGGGAGTCTGCTTCATATAATTATCAGTATTCAAAGAATGATTGTAGATGCTGTAGCTTAACAGCAGGTGAATGGTCCTTATCTGAATATTAAATAAAGTACAACTGGATTTCTAGGTTATCTCTGGCTAAATGTTTGCAAAGTCATTAGTGAAAGCATGCAGGTATAATCCCCACCACTCTTCTTCTTAAAAAGGATTTCCACTTTTGTTTTTAATTCCTTTACAGGATGAATTGTTCATCTCCCCTTCCTATACACGCAATCTCCTCCCTTCATTGGACTACCAGAAACATCAAGGAAGCTGCCTTGTAAGTAATACCTACACTTTTTATTTTTTTCAATCCTAAGCAACAAAAGAAACCTAGAGAAGAGTGACAAAGAGAAAGATTTATTATTTCCTCTGAGGACTATCAGGGCTCTGGGTGTTGGGAAAGGCTCTGTAGTAAACTGTTCCTTTGTCCTCCCAAGTTCTGGGAACTTCTATTGCATGACCTAAGAGAAGCTCTATGTATTTATTTAGTAAAAGCCTTTTATTATTGTTTTAAAATGGAGGATTTAATATACTTGAACACTGTTTTAGTAGCTTGATAGTGGATATTACACAGAATCTAGTAGATAGTAGTTATGAGAAAATTAATAGAACAAAGAAAAGGAACACCCCTCCCCTGCTGAGCAGAACGGACAGCCCAGACCTAGCAGAGGAAAATTACTGGAGATGAAGGAAGAAGAATTACCATGGGACTATATAACACAAGATTTTTGAGGCACAACTCGTGTTTCAGTCCCTAGATGTGAAGAACACAGTAGTCTTACATTTTGAAAAGGAATTTCCAAGGCAGACATACTCTACAAAGTAGCTAGGCCAGGACATCACCTGCTCCTTCTGCCAGACACCACAAAACCTTCACACCCACCTCAGCCTGGCCCATCAGTGGCAACACATGTTATCACAACAACTGCACGTATTTGGTTTTAGTTGAATATAAAAATAAAAACCACATTAAATTCAATATCATTTCTCTGAATATTAAAACCCAAACACAACCCCTCCAAAACGGGGCCATCACTACAGTAAGCTGTACACTATTTATTTGCCCATGGATTCCCATTTTTTCTGAGCTGTAACACAGGCTGAGTTTTCAGCATGGCACAGCTGACCATCTTTGGTTTTCAAGCATTATACCTCTCATTGCTGCTGCTTCAGGCTTCTGCAGACTCAGGCAGATGTTACTACACCCATCTACAAGGCTTTCTGCTCATCTTTGCAGAAATGCAGGGTAGAAACACTTTTTCAAGAAGGGAGGAGGGAAGAACAGTGAGCACAACTTTGTGTTGAGCTCTGCATTGCCCAGCAAGCCACACAGTCTCAGGGGTGAGGGAATACAAGGGGCTCTGTGTGCCAAAGTCCTGTTTCCTTCCATAACAAGGGGAGAACTTTTTCTAGCATGTGAGTACTTCTGTGTATTTTTACTTAAGTAAGAATGTAAAGCTCATGACTTCTGGAAATGCACTGATTCAAACTCTTCCATCAAGAAATGGGTATTATGGAGCTCTCTTAACTTTTCTACCTTTGTTCCTCAGGACATCTACAGTGGATGCTGCTGTGGGCTCACTCCTTTGTAGCTATGTTACCATTGCCAGGAATTTAGGAAACACCGCCTAGAGCTGTGAGGCTTTTCCCAATCCCATATTTTTAACTATTTTTATATGAAAATGAACTGTACAATAATAACAGTATTGGCTCTGATATTGCTGCTTTCATAGAGTTAGAAAGAAAAAAAATGAAACTAAATAAGTCATGTTTTTTTGGTTGTGCTTGTAGTGGAGATGGTCTTCTTTTGTAGGGAAGGGCTCTGCATATTTAGTCAGGAGCCTTTAGTTACCATCTCAGAACTTTCTCCTCTAGGACCACAAGTACTCTATTTTGAGTGGAACAACCTAAGAAAGTTAACAATTGTTTTCTATTTGGCATTTTTATATGTATTAAAAAACAACCCCAACACAACCAACAATGTTCCCACCTCCCCTCACCAAAAAAAGTAAAAAGGCTAATCCAAAACTCTTCTACCCAGTTTAGAACCCAAATTTTCACTTTTACTTAACTGTGAGTCACCTGCAGTCACTGGAATTAGTTCTGATTTTAACCTCAAACATTTTCTAATGACACTTTTTAGCAATACCTGATCTCATGTCATTTGCATTCATTACTATTTTTATAATCTCTTGAAGCACTTAAACACCTCCTGATTTAAAAGTAAGCCCTTTAAGAGGCCATTTGCACCTAGAAGCCAATGGCCAAATCCAAATCCATCTGAAGCTGGTGGAAATTTTGACACTTATTATAATGGTGAAATCATAATTTGGTTGAAGTGTACAGTAAAGCAGAAGATGATTTGCTTAGGGAGTGATGAGGGTTGGCTTTGTCCATGTCATCAACCACATGCTGGCTGATTTAAGAATGAAACTTGGACATGCTTACAGAGGCAATCAATCATTAGACTGGATGCCCTTGTTTCAGCTAGGCTAAGCAGTGAGACAAACATGGGAATATTGCATGTGAGAGCAAAAAAACAGTGAATTTTGGAGAACTTGAGAATCTCCCATATTTCTGTATCATATCCTCAAAAATCTTAAAGCAGTCAGTTTATCCAGCATATGGCTCCTCTGGAGCTGATGGACTGAGGCTGTGGTTCCTGACTGACACTGTGGTCTTTATTCATAACTTTCACCAGTTTCAGAGACAATATTTGCATGCAGGAGGGCTGAACAGAACAGCCAGAATAGATGCTAGCTGCAATCTGAGGGTGACATACATGCTTTCTATCACTGATATGGACCCATGACCACTGCACCAGCAGGTACTGGCAGGTCTCCTGAAGCAGATCTGTGATTTGGAAGAGTTTTTAAATATGTACAGACCAAACCTCCCCCAGCAATGCAGACCTAGTCTCAAGCACTATGGTAAACACTGTAGTACATATTTTACAGTCATACAATATTTACATTAGGAACGTGGTTGTTTCTAAGTCTGTGTTTCTATACTTGTCTTTCTATATTTCTATACTTATCTGTCAGATTCTGATGGCAGCAGATTGTGAAGACAGAACCTGTGCTTGATTTTGGTCCAGCGGTGAGGAGCAGTAACAACACCTTGTCAGCTCCCCTTGAGCAGAGGGCCCCATGGGCACGGAGCTGGGGCTCTGCCACCCCTTCCCTGCCTCTCTGCGGGGTCAGGAAATGCAGTGAGGGTGGACTGACCCCTTCCCGGGTTTAAACCCACCAGCCACCCCCACAGAGCCACACTCCATCCCTACAAACTGTAACAACTTTCCCAACCCCAGGGGGTGAGCCCTGACCCAGAGCCCTGGTTGGTCACTGGTGCTCCCTGGACCACTACTGAGTACGTGCCCAAGATGTTCACAGCCCTCAGCCTTTCCATACAGTCAGGAGGAGACCCACAGCAGGTAAATTACTGTTGGCCATAGAAACATTCCTATATGGGAGAGGGCGTGAGTTATGCAAATATCTACTCTATAAATCTGGTATGTGGCTTTGAAGAAAAACAAAAAAGCCACTTAAAAATTTGTTCCAAATTTGGCCACAGTATAGTTTTGTTAGTTCAAAGAAACGAAGCTAACTTTATTGTTATTTGTGTTTGGATCAAAGAAAACTATGAAAATAAACATTAGACAGAATGATAATCAACACTGGAAAAGAAATGTTTACTAAAGATTTCCTTCTGTGTTCTCTTACCAGCATTAATAATATTTTCTTTTTCTAAAGTTTTCTTGCTTCCTTCAAAGAGATTGATTTCAGTAGAAAGAACAAACATATGCAAATAAACTGAATGATGTTATACCCCCTGCCCCTATCCCCCCAAACTGCATCAGATAATTCCATATTGTTAGTCTGCATTACATTTTTATCAGTTTTTTTGTCTTAATCAGATATGAAGCTCTTGCAGTACATCTCTAGAACTGGGCTGTGACCCTGATGTGACTCTCCAGTACAGAAGCAGCCTTAACCCTGCTGTAATCTAATAGTTCAAATTTAACGGATTTGTTTTTTCAGTGGAAATAATGGCTTCCTGTCACAGAACAGAGACACAGATTACATATCTGATAAATGGCTTTGGCATGATTTTTTCATGTAACACACAATTAACAGTGTTTTTTATAAGATTCATGGTTTAAGGATTTGGTGAAAGCAATGTAATGTAATGTAATGTAATGAATAAGTTCATTACTACGCCTTTTCTTGAAAAAAAACAACACTCTGCATGTCTGCTAGTGCTTGAAAAACAAATATTTGCTTGGAAAGAGCTCACCTATGCTTTCAAGTGTTAATTTAGCCTCAAAACATTATACTGAAATTATTACCATTGAGAGCTGATGTATTTTTTTCATGAGGCATATTATTATAATTGATAACCCAAAATGGAAATAGGATAATTCTGATTTTATAAGCTACCACCCATACAGACACCGAAAATTTCCACATTATAGTTATAATTGTTTTTTGTCATGCCATAATCCCCTAAACATTATCAACTAATTAATAGCTGAGCAATACATAAGGAGATATACAATTCTTCTATGGACGGAGTTACATATTTTGAAGGAGTTTATTATCTGTAGTTTGGTTTTGAAATCACAGCTCAGATAATGCTTCTGCTGCCTCCACTGGCTATATCTTCAGCCCACCCAACCACCAGCCTTACACTGGGAGTTGCTAACTCAGAGCATTTACAATGAGGTAATCATCACCTTGTAGCTGAGTGGTGTGAATGCTGGTCAGATGGCCTGTATTTTATTAACAGAAATAGGGTCACAAGTCAAATACATGCTTGGGGTCAGTGAGCAAATACAAAAGAAGATTAGAGGAACAAAAAAATGTGACTGGAGGGGTAAAATCCCACTGGGGGTTAATCGAGCAGAAATGTATCAAAGAATGTAAACTACCCTTTCTTTTGTTATTCATCGTACGGGATGTAGTTCCTGTGTCCTGCTGATTCCAGTTGGATAGGGCATCATCTCCCGAGTGCTATCCTTTAATGAGCTCCTTGAGCAGAGCCTTACAGAGGGACTTCCAGTAATACTCCTACTCAGGCTATTACTACCGCTACCACTATTAAACAATAGCAATAAGAAGAATTAAAACCACTTAGCATAAATATTTAGATCGAAGACTTTCTTCACCTGCTATTGCACTGTGCAATGACTGCCTATAAAAACAGGAGAAAAATAGCATTCAGTGTCACTTCTCTGGGATTCTCTTCTGCCTTCAAGGTGAAAAGACTGGACCAAGAATTAACTTCACCAACACACTGATTTAACTCCCACTTGCAAAGCAAATTAATTAACGAAAATATTTCTGAAGAGATGGTATTGTATTGCTATAGTTCTAGTTTTTCTAAGACTGTCTTTTCATATGACAGATGAACATGTAAGGAGTCAGCAGCCCTGATCTGCACAGTAAGTACTGGACTTGGTAGGGCCCAAATGGCAGCAGTCAAGAAAAATCATAGGGTACTTACCAAGCAGCAGCTGATTTTCTCTTCTGATACATGTTCATCGCTCTTCCTGTGACAAGAGGCAGAAATTCTGCCTTATTTGAACTACACACATTTGTCTAATTCTTTAAAATCCCAGCAGTAGGAAGATTCCCTTTTCATCAATTTCCATTTATTATGCTTGTAGCTACATATTGTAATATGAATTCTTTTATCCATGTATACTGCACATCTATAGATTTTATGTTTTCACACGTCACATGAAAAGCATATTTCAAAACTATTGCATTATCGTGTGCCAGAAGAATATTGCTGTGGGAATGCAGACACATTATCCAAAGTACAGTATAAAACAAGGAAGTGAGAGTCAGGAAGGAAGGAATTCTTAGTTCTATGACTACGTGCCCCTGACTTACCGTGCGATGTTCATAAAGTCTCTTACTCTTATTTTAGCATACTTTATATATAAAATCAGGAATATGTCCTTCTGCAAGGTTGAAATTAATGGTAACTGGTCCAATCATGCCCTTTGAGAGCAAAATTGGGATTTCTGTCATCAACTCCAAGGTGAGCCAAATCAGGCTCAGAGATGGTAAATCTTTACGTTCCAAAGATTAAGACTACATAGATGGCCAGATACAGTGTGGCAGACTAACTGAAGACTAATGTGAAATAAAATACTGTAAATATTACTTGAACTGAAATCAAAGGCTTCCATCATTTCCTACCTAGCTATCTATAAATGTTTTTCCCATACAATTTATTTTCATGCATTATATACCTCCTTACAGAATATATGTTTTTGATCCTGCATCTTCAAGCAAATTATATTTCTAACTTATATATCACCCCTTCAATTTAAAACTAATTATGCTTTTAAGTGTTTTGCTGCATTGAACCTTCCTGGGGCCACAAGCAGGATTTCCCTCCTCCTTGGATGAAGGGTGTTATGGCAGTGTGTGCACACTGTGCCCGACCTCAGATCAGCTGCCAGGTTGTGGACACCCACATAAGGATTTTCTTCACAGAACTGATCTTAAAAATGGAAATGTCTGTCTCCTCCAGCTACACTGGCAGACACTGTTTACCCAAAGATCCAGATACACAAGACCTTGTTATCAACTGCAGCTTTTACACAACTTACAAGTAAGTTAGTGGGTTGGAAATCACACATGTTAGAAATATTTTCTGAAGGATATGATCATATTTGTTGCCCTTAAAAGTGTTTAATGTTGCATGTTAGTTATGTAGATTAGCATTACTTAATTTATAAGGTTTTAAAAATATAAATTACCACAGAGTGGATTTATAAATGCTTGGAAAATAATAATATATATTTATTACACACAAAAAAATTAAAACTACATTGACATGCAATTAATAGATTTGGGAAAAGCCATGAGCAAAGTGTCTTTCCAAGGTCTACATTTCAGTCATTCTAGTCCTTTCTATAGAATACAGTCCACTAAAATACAACATGCTGAAGTATTTCTGCTAACTTGGTGTGGAAGCACTACTTAAAAGAGTTAGCTTTTTAATAATGTGGTCAAAATATTTTAAGAAAGATCACTTCATGCACTATAATTAATTACCTTTACATCTGTATTATGTGGAGGAGATATACTATACACTTTGGACAGTAGTGCTGAGATGTACTGAGGTTTGCATAATGCTGTATTACTACTTAAAGGCTTGTGAATAAGAATTTTACTACAATCACAACATATACATTGGGCTCTCCTAGTAAATGGATCACTCAAATAAAAAGAAAAGAATGTTTTTGATCTGCAAAGAAGATGAGCAAAAAGTAAGTCTGCTCCTCTTAACTCTGCATTAGGGGGAAAAATGAACTTTGATCTATCATATTGCAGAGCTGCTTGTATTTCAGTGGCAATTTATCAATTTTTAATAGTCAAAGCTCCCAAGTAGCAAAAGCTTCTTAGACTTCCTAATCTAATAGCCATTATTTAAAATTTTTATTCTGTATGACTTACTGTTCAGAAGCAAGAAAGCAACATAATTTCTTAAAAATTTTTTTTTATAAAAATCAATTAAATGGAGTCCAACACTACTAATTCTGTTCCTCCTCATGCTGGTGTTAAAACAATGCAGAATCCCACCAGAATACCACCTTGATATATCTTAACGTTTCTTACCTACTCTGACAGCACAGTGCATCAGCAACAGGACTGACTTAAGGTCAGGCTACAGCAGCAGCACCATCCCTTAAGGGAATCCTTTCTCCTTTTGGGATTGGAGCCCATCCGTGCCATCCCCCTGCCCTGCTGACAGTGCTGGGCTGGGGGCTCTGCCTCAGCTCTGCCTCCTGTGCCCCTCCAGCCTCAGCTCGGGTGTCTCCCACCCTGCAGGGAGCAATTAGGAAGCTCTCGCTGTGCCCCAGCCACCACGGCTGCTGCAATTTGTCTTTGTAGGGGATATAACAGGTCTCTCTGCTTCCTCCCCCAACACCAGAAGGGTGAGAGAATCTCTCCCAAGCATCCAGCTCCACAGTTGAGTCCCAATTTTTCTATGTAAGGTGAGCTCTCTATTCCTAAGACAATGGAGTGGTGAGGATATTAAGCACCCTGTGGGCCTACCACAGGAGCAAATCTAAAATAAGCTTAAGACTGTCTAATATTAAAAAGTTGACCTTGGCAAGCCCAAAGCACAAGGAGGAGCATTTAAGACTGCATATCTAAACTTGCATGTTGTTATTGCTAAACATTAAACCCTAAGGTCAGAATTCAGAATTCAGCCCCTCCGACTCAAAAATACATCAATGTATTTGCTAAATGGAAACCACAATCACACCATATCTTATCACAATGTCACAAAATGCAGAAAATTACAAATCAGTTTTAAGGCAAAATACATGACAGCAAAATATGAGTACACAAAAACTACATTAAATATCAGTCTTCATTTGTCCCTACCGCTTCAACTTACCTCTCAGTTCAAAACTACTCTCTGCAGCGCACAGCTTGAGATAGTCTAAGATCCATTTTAGAGTGGACTGAAATATAAATGACAGTTCGCGCTACACATGAACATAGACAACTGTATAAAATATTTAAATAAAGACAGAAAAGAACAGAGGAAACCAACAGAGCCTTTGGCAGACCCAGCCTTTGGGAATTTAGCAGCTTGAGATTCATTGCAAATTTCATCTTTAATGTTATTTTTAGTTCAATATTTTGTAGCACTCAGAAGTAAATCTTTGTGTGCTGTCTCTCCTCGTGCTTGTGCTGCTTCCTTTTCTGATCTTTTCTTTTAAAGAAACCCAATATATTTTCAATACAATTGATTTGTGACATGTTTTGTGGTATTTGTTAAAGTTATCCTGCTTCTTCATACAATTCAGTCAAAACCATTACACTGCTTTTCTTTTTAAGTGCTGAATATTGCTCGTCCTAACTGAATATAAACGAGACCCCCCAACAGTCTTTGTTCCACCACACCTTGTGTTGCATTAAATTCTCTGACATTAAATTTGATTCTTGGGTTCAGGTCAAACTCTTTTTTTAACCTCTCACCACTGCTCCAAATACTGCCACACACAGCGCATTTGTGGAGCAGTTTTGATTTTATCCTGGAATCTGTTCTTTGTCTTTCTCTGAAGCAATCTGGCTGGAATGATACACAATAACACAGAACTGGAAGATGCTGCAGAGAGGATGCTGGATAACTACCAGCTGTAGGGAGATGGAAACACTGCCTCACATTGTCTCTCCTTCCTGCTCCTGCCTGCGCAGGGTGAAATACGGGAGACTGGGAGAAAGCACAGATCCTTCCACACTGCTTCCTGCACGCAGGATGGTTCTCCAGCTCCCTCAGGCCCACCTCTCCTGCTGCTGTGCCAGACAAGCCCACACAGTTACTGGCTCCTTCTCTGCCTGGCCAGGGACCACAGAGGCCAAAGAACCAAGGGTGGAGGTGTACAGGTAAATTAGCACAGCCCTGTCAGCTGCCCCACAGCAAGCACCCAATACAGGCTCTCACTCAGCACCAAACACAACGCAGCTTAAGTGCAGGTGGAAAAGAAATAATCACAGTTACATCAGATACCAGGCAGTTGGCATGTGAACATGGAAATTATCAAATTTTCTGAGAAGCTGTGAGTTCACACCCTAGTCCACCCCACTGTTCATTGCTGTCTGCCCATGCTCAGGTGACTTGTTCCAAGTCTAGCCCTAGTTTTTTGATTGACTTTCCAGGCCTTTCCCCTTCTTGCTGTTGCAGAGAACTCAAAGAACACACTCTCCCATTGCTACACTTATGACTTAATAGTCCTGCCACAGATCATGGCATTACAAATGGATTATTTCACACATTATGGAACTGATAAGAGCACTGTGATGTGACATAAGACGTGAATCGTATAGGACATATAAGCTAAGGCTACTTATCTGTGCAGTATGAACACTATAAAACTACACTTGCTTTAATTAATTCTAATTTCATCAGACTGCAGTTGGAGCTGAGAATTTTTTCTTTTTTCATGGCAAGATTCACAAGAGAAGGAGCTTGCCTGATCATAAGGCTTTAAAATTGCAAGAGAGATTTTCTTTTTCAAAAACCTGATTTCTAAGATATAGAGCCATTATCCAACAGTTGCCACAAATACAAGGACTAGGAGCCCCAATTAAATGACCAGGCATCAGTCTTCAAACAAACAAAAGAAGTATTTTATCCTCACAGCACATAATGAAATTACAGAACTCATGGCCACAGGATGGTGCGGAGGTCAAAAGTGTAAATGGACCATAAAAGGGATTACATGAAATCATGCAAACGAAATCCATCACCAGCTACTAAACATGATGATCAAGATCCAGCCTCCAAATCAAAATGTCTCTGACACTGATCCTCAGAGGGCAGGAGCACACAGGGGAAGAAGGATTGCCCTATATGAGTGATATATCAGAGTTCATACACTCTTTCCCTAGACATTTGCTCCTCTCACTCTCAGAGGGAAAACACTGGTCTACGTGGACATTTTATCTGACTTAGAATGGTAGCTTCTACATGTGTTCTAAAGTCTTCAAAAATCCTGACTCATTTCATTTGACACTGTTTGATAAATGTTTCCACTAAAAAATTCAAGATAATTAAGAAAAAAAGCCTGTAAAGAGTCAAACAGAGGGCAAAAATAAGCCAAGGTACTCAGAAAAGATGGAGTTCAGAACATTTTCCATGAAAGTCATATTTTGCCATATACCTGTGCTTCAGGATCTCATTTTGCACCACAAAAAATATTTCCATCTGACGGTTGCAAAGAAGGAAGTTAACAATACAGAAACCTATTCAGTGTCCACCTTCCAAGGTCTGCTGGGAGACTGAAGCACATCTGACAGTTGAGAACCATCTCATAAATCTGAAATAGGTCCCTGTGGCCCCTGCAGCACTCAAAATCACTGCTCACCATTGCTTTCACTGCACTCAATCATTTGGGCCTCTCCCTTTCTGTGTGAGTCAGATTTTGAAAGCTGAGCCTCCTCTAGCCTGCAGGATTCATAAACACCTGCCCCATTAACCCAGTTTCACTATTTGTCTAATGACAACCACAAGTAATGACCTGACTCAAGTCATGTCAATATTCTGCCAAAAACTACCATTTTGCCCTCTTAGCCACCTCCTCCCACCCACCCATAGGTTATGGAACTGTGGGATGGTTGCCAAAGAAATGCAATAAAAAGGAGGAAATTACATATACAAATAAAATTCACTTACCTAAAAGCTCTGTACATCGGATCTCTTTATGCTGCCTCCTCCTCCACCATCTACTCCTTTACTTCCAGCACTTGTTTCTCCTCTCTCCTAATTTCCTCTTTCTTTGCTGCCCTTTTCCTTCACATGTTCTACTTTCTGTTCTTTCTTTTCCCCTCCTCTTTTTATGCCCTAGTTTTTTTTCTTTGTCTGAAAATGAATAAATAAATGCTTTCATAATTTTCCCTTGCTTCAGAGACAGTAAAGCATTATGGTGTCACTTTACCATTTTTGCTCCATCTTCCCAGTTTTTCCCAACTTCTGTTGTTGTTTTCCATGTTTTCCTTGGCCTTCCTCCCTAGCAATCACTCCCTCCTTGCAAGTACTCCTTCCTCAGTGACTTCATATGCTCCTTCTCTCTGTGGAGCTCCTCTTATCTTTCATTGCAGTTTGAAATAATCCCAATTTCCAGGTGGATTTCTTGGGCTTCTAGAGTTTTGATGGTGAGTAACTATGTAAGACAATATTGAGGAAAGATTTTGGGTGCACAGATGTAGCTTTAGGGGGAAGCAGGGATGTTAACTGGAGAGGAGCTCAGCCCTATTCCAGTTGCTGGGGGAAATATTCCCCCCCGACAAACTCTAAGCCACTTATTTCAGTCTTATTTCCTTGGCCTTCCAAATACTCTACTAAGCCATCGCCTTCTGAGTGTACTTACAGGATCCATCCCTAAAATCTGGACTCTCTATCCTCATGGATGTCCCTCTTGCCAAGAGTACACAATATTAGGAAATTCACTCTGGTTTGCCTTGTAGTTGCTCACATTCTCCTGACGCTTAAAACCCATCTGAAGCCTGCCCATGGATCCCAGCAGGTAAGTTTGCTGCTCTCATTGGGGCTGCACTTGCCGAGCTGTGGCCCCTTGCAGCTTTGCAGGGCTGTGTCTAAACATACAGTCACTCCACACACGTGTTTTCCAAGGTTTAAATAGGCTATAAACCATTCATGCATTTCAATTCATCCCTGTGCTCCTTCATTCCTGTTAGGCGTAAGTACATTCAAAACCTAAAGGGAAAAGCAGTATTTCAGGTTTGTGAGATAAGATGGTGAAAAAATGGAAGCAGCACTAGCTTTACTATATATTTTCTATGCTAAGAATCGAGAGAATGAGGGATTAGGTCTAAAGTAAAGTGAAGAAAATGGGGAAGAGCCTGACTAGCTGAGAATTTCATGCTGCACACATTATTCTAGAAATAATCTTTTTTGTGTTTCTGTTCTTTACCTTTTTAACTGCACAGTAACCCATGGCAATATCATTTGAACAAGACATTTAAAAAAAACCATGCAAGCCACCTTAATAAAATACTGTATACAGCTCAAACAACAGCAACAACAACAAAAAAATTCCCATTTTGGGGGCTTCTCTCAATTTATATTAATGATCAGTTATTCTATGGAAGAATTGCACAATATGGGTTTTTCCTGCTTGTTCATAATAGGTCATTCATTAAAGAAAATACTGGGAAATTATTTTCTGTGTCAGTGGATACAGGATGCCATCTGGGAGCTGGAAAAAATGAACAGAAATCAGACCGAAAAGAAATGATTAAAAACATGAAATTAGTTGCACTTATGGAAACCAGACAACTACTTTAAAAAATCCCAGACCCATCAGATAGGCTGCAATAATTGGCACATTGTCCATTTGCACAAGCGATGCACTTACTCACAGGAGCGGTCAGTGCCTTCCCCTGTCAGGCCCTCGGTGATTCACTCCCACCATTCCCCCTGGGTCCTCTCCCTCTCTCCTGCTTCTCCAGAGCCTCCTGCTCCCTCTTGGCCCCTGGGCTCACCATGGATGCTCTTTGCCATCTCCTCCTGCAGCTTTTCCCAGCTGTCTGCTCGCTGGCACTACTCCATTCCTCTTGTTTCTGCTCCCAGTTTTCTGCTCCCTTTATTCCAAGGTGCTTTTCTAACCAGCTCTACAACACGAGGCTGTTGTGGTGTATCATTCATTCTCCTCCCAGGGTCCAAAAACAACAGGTAGATCAGAAAACCCCTTAAAATGTGAAATTTTACTCTGACTCCAATTCTAGGGTAATCTAAAATTAAATGTTCACCTTTCCAGGGTAAGGTAGGTGGCTGAAGTTATGCCTACATCAGCTGATAAGGAAATCACAATATAGTAATAAATATATTAAGATGAATATGGCCATATGCCAATTTTACCCCCTCATAAATAAGACTCTTGTTTACCAAATGTTCAATTTTGGTTATGTCACTATAAAAATCAAGCAGCTGGTAATTCAGGCTTGATTAGCAGGTCTCCAGTTTTGATTAGTAAATTACTGTAGTAATCAATGTTAATTCTCATTTCAGAGCTATGCCACAGATTTTATTTCTTCCAGAGAACTGGGTTTACCATTCTGGAGAAGTAATATTTTAACAACTATTACAAAAATATCCAGAAATAGATATAAAAAGCAGACCCAAAGGGGTTTTTTAAAAATTGGGGACCAAGGCAGCAACACTGTTCAAACATGAAACAGTTAATGTCCTAGGAATAAAATTCCAAGCTGCAATTTTGCAGTAGATTTCCACATAATATATGCAGAGATTGCATTGCTAATTCCTTTTACCTAGTGTTTCTATTTCTATCTTTAAAAATTGTTTTCTTTGGATCTTCATCTTTCATTTTAAAAGAAAAAAAAAAGTATACAGAGAGGCTTAAAAAGAAGCCCAAGAGACCATTATTAGTATAAAGATAAACAGTAGAATGGATTCTAACTGAGCCAGAAAACATCACTGTAGAATTTACATAAAATTTAGTTCTCAACCAAACATATTGCACATCCAGTTCCAGCTCATCTCATAATGAATATTCAAGCTTTCCAATGACCCACATGTCCCATAAGTGAGCAAGAGTCCCCAAAAGCCATCATTGTTATAGAAGAGGCACAATATTAAAAAACACTGAGAATTCATTAGGGATTTTTTTTTCCATGAAACTTTTACTAAATCTTTAGCCTGCAAATGCTGCGATTATTTGAGCATACAAGTCTGTCAGGGATTTGAGGCTGGATAACAAATTCTTATATGGTTTTTAATTAGGATAATATTATTATTTTCTAGTCATAATTCTGGGTCAGATTCTGTGTATCTCCCTCACATCACTTTTGTATAATTAGAGACTAAATTATCTAAAATAAATATGAAGTTTTGCTTTATCTACTCAGTACTGCATGCTTTTCTCAGATAGAAAAGAACAGGCAATTTTCAGATATACCATAGTATTCCACTCAAAATATTTAAACAAATTTCTCCCCCATCACACAGAAAGAACTGACTGAAGTAACCCCAAAATATATGTATATAGAGACACATTACTGAGAATACAGTAAAAAATGAGTTCAGTATAAATTTATACAGTTCTTATGTCCTTTGAGGGAAAAAGAAAACCAAACCCACAAACCATAACTCCCTTTTCTGGAAAGACATGCTATGTCCTTTTGTAAAAGGCCAGAGAGGAACCTGGAGTTTACTTCTGTTTCCATATACATGCTTTGTTCCACTGGAGTAATTTTGCTACGAGCACTTTTCCTTATGCCAATGAAAACAGGGGGTTTTGAATCAGACCAGGATTACCTTGTTCCTGATGATGGCAAACAGAAAATGCTTCAGAAGGTTCCTTCCTAGTGCTAGAAAGTCAATAGCTGTCTTCTGGACTAAAGCAATGAGATTCTTATCCTTCCTGAATTTTTCCCTTTATAAAAAAAATCCCAGGTACTTAACATTATGTCTTATCTGCATGGTTCATTTACAGCCCAGCATCTAATGACCTAGACATTGGCAGAAAGTGGAAAGCAACCTGATCTATGAACATTTATTTAAGATTAGCACTTTGTTAAAATAACAATCAATTTGAGTAGAAAGTAAGCATATACAGACTGGATTTACTGAGTATGTTAAGGGCTTGTCTGACTTTCACACACCAGCAACTTAGGAAGCCCCGAAATTTTGCAAGAGAAGAGGAGGAAAATATACTTTTAGGGAGAAAGCCTGTAAAACAAACATTATAACTCTGGGAAAAAAAAAGCGTATGTGATTTTTGTGGCCTGTCTTATACGTGCAAGACAAGATTCACCTGGGGAAGGAAGGGGTGGGGTGTGGGGGAAGCAATTGCAACCAAGCCATTGCATTAATAGGGGACTTCCACAGATTTCTGGCTCTCCTCCAGCAGTACAACAGCTCCCTGAATCTGGCAGATTTTGCTCATTGCTTTTGCGCATGTTTTTATTTTTGGCTTTGGCTTTGGCTTTCCTCTCCTTTGCAGCTCTTCCAAGTTACATGAGAGGAAGCACACAGCTGTCGTTCCTCAGGAACAGGACAGGACGCAGTGGCCTCTGCAGCCACCTGTCCCCACCGACAGTCGTGATGCAGGCACGTATGAAGAGCTGGAGATTCAAGCTTCACTCTTGGCCATGCTGATTGTTTCCCCCAGACTCCGGTGAATTACAACCAGCAGCTTTAGGCCTATGGATACTGTACGGAAATGGATAAATTTTAACAAAATTCAGAATAAAATTCAAAACTACAGCCCCAGAAGGGCTGTTGTTCTAGTGGGAGATAGAAACTCTGAATGGGAAGGAAGAACTACCTCCAGAGCCCTTGGACAAAGACAGGGTGGCACATAATAGACTCTTCTGGGTACTCACCACCCTTTTGCCAACCTCCAAGCAATGAGCATGAAGGCAATATGACCAGGGAATCACTACACTCTTGTTATCCCTGGCAGAACAATAGTTTTCTTAAGAGCAGCCTGGCCTAGTGTAAATGAGAGAAGTCATGAGGCTTCTGGAAAGGTATTTATTTTATCCACAGGTAGGATTGCATCACTGAATGTGATAGTCTCTATTTAAGGTGATTAGTAATATGTTATGTTGCTTGCTTTGAGCAAAGACTATAGCCCAACTCCTGCCCTGGCTCTACTCCCATTGAAGTCAATTGTTTAGCCTGAAAAATGGATTACAGGATGTGGCTATAATTTATGCATACAAAAATGCAGAGGATTTTACTTTAGAAACAGTAATTTTTATTTATGTGCACTGCAGTAGTGCCTAGAACCAGAGATTCTCCGTGCAGGACAGCACCCAAAAGCACAGGAAATACAGGCATGGTCCATACCCAAAGAGTCT